AGTCTCCTCATCTGGTTTTTCTTCTTCTCTTGCTCTCTTTACAGATAATGTTTATAGGCGATGTCTTGCAAATGGGACATGGGCGTTGAAGGGGAACTACTCCATGTGTAAGGCCATCCTTCACGAGGAGGTAAGAGTCAGCTGTCTGCACGTGTCTTGATTAATGTGGCCTTTAGTGAGGATCCTAAAAGTGTGGAGCCTACTGCATGGTAATCGGAAACAGACAAAGGCAAGGTTAGTGGTGGAAGACGCCGCTTTGCTCGAGGCTTAGTGGAATATTTATAGTAAATATGACTTCGGGGTTTGTTTGCCTGCAGACAAAAGAAACATCACTGAAAATACGGCACATTGCCTCAGAGCATCTCTTTAAGGAATCTACTTGTTTTGATTTTTGCACTGCAGCGTGCCTTTAATGTCACCTTGCCCCGAGTTATTGAGGCGTCGCTGGTTTCAAATGTAGGTGGAAGCTTTAAATCAGCTTATCGACCTGCAGCTTTTTCTCTTCTGAAACAGAAAAGAAAACAGTGATTTTTCTAAACAGCATTGTCCTCCGGTGATGTGAGCGACTCGTGAAAGCCGAGAAGAAAACAGCCAGTCAGCACGCTGCTGTTATGGTCCTGCTGTGCTCTACATTTTTACCCATTCACGTTTTTTTTCTTCCACTTTTTCTACTCATGTTTTTTGTTCGTGCTCGCTGCGTCCTCGTGCAGTGTTTCGAGTGTTGTAAGTGCTCTTTTTTCCCCCCTAAGGACTGAATTGTCCTGATAAAAATGCAGAACATGCTTAAACAAATCGAGCAGGAACAAATACACGTTTCAAGTATCATTTCAGGGGGTCAAGTACTGCACTAGACCCCCTGAAATTACAGATACACGCGAGGCAGACAAGCGCACACTAGGTGACCATTGGCACTGTTGCTTTAAAACACCACCTGGAGCAAAGGTAGATGGTAAGATTCAGCTTTTAGTTCCAAAGTCAACAGAAGGTTGTGTTTGTTCGTTTGTGGGTTTCGCTGCTGTTTGGCTTCACCTGCTTTTATTCACTTCACATACTTCACTTTATTTCCACCATACTGAGCTAAAGATGGATGCATCCACTGTGACGTTAACTTGATTTATCAGCCTTTGTCCTATTAAGCGATCAAGTCCATGAAGTAAATCAGGGAAGCATTACTGAAGTCATATAGCGAGGGAGCAGAGGATCGTTTTCCCACAGAAATCATTCTGCAGCCACATCAATGTTCCCCTGGTTGCCATTAAAAAGAAGGCATTTATTCATTAGCTTCACTTTTCAGACCTGAAAGGAAAATCCGCTTTCCATGCGAAAATCTAACACCCAGTCCGTTTAAATGTGATGGAGGGGATCGCAAACAAGCATTTATAATGTCTTATTGACTTTATTTGCATAATTGCGTGAGTCCTCTTCTGTTTCAGTGCACCATGAAAGTGGCTACTGCATTTATG